TGACTTGCCAGATTTAATTTTCCTTCTGAAGGAGCCTTCAAAGCTTTTTAGCGCTGTCCTTTAAAAAAGTATTTGCACAAGTGTTAATAATCATGGCTAATATTTATTGATTGCCTTCTGTGTTCCAGGTATTCTAAAGGTTTTTCATGTAATCTCTCATTACAGTTTCACAATGGTCCTGACAGGGAGCTACCCTTATTATCCACACCTTGCAGGTTCTGAAACTGAGGCACAGAGAGTTCGAGTTATCTGCCGAAGGTTTGACAGCTACTAACTGACAGACTGGGATATGAATCCTGCCAGCCTGGCTCCAGAGCCCTTACACTAAATTCCTGCATATCTAGTTGGATGCGTTCTTCAGATGACCTCTTTCCACTGAATGGACTGAGAGAGAGAGATATTTTTGGAGGTGGGAGAAAGAGTGGTGGGGTATTGAAGGCGTTGAACACAGAGGTAAGAGGTCGGAGCCAGCTGTCACCATTTTTCTGGGCTGCCTTGCTCAACCTCACATCGATCAGGACCTCTGGAAATATGACCCTATGGTCAATTGACTCTGGTTCTCAGCCCAGAATACTAGGGACAGGGAGCCAAGTAGGTGAGAGGTGGCAGATGAGGCTCTTTGGAATAATGCCAGGAACAGCCCAGGTGCCTCCTTCTGAGCCAGGGTGTCCTTAGGGAAAGCAGGTGAGACAAAGGGCATGACATGAATCCTCCTTTCAGAAGGAGAGTCAGCCTCATTCCTTTGCCTGGGGGTGGTTGTACTATCTACCTGAAGTCGATTTTTAAAAAATTAAAATGTAGTGCTGGCCGGTTTGGCTCAGTGGATAGAATGTTGGCCTGTGGACGGAAGGGTCCTGGGTTTGATTCTAGTCAAGGGCACATGCCTCGTTTGCGGGCTCAATCCCCAGCAGGGGGTGTGCAGGAGGCAGCCCATTAGTGATTCTCTCTCATCATTGATGTTTCTATCTCTTCATCTCTGAAATCAATAAAAATATTTTTAAAAATTAAAATGTTTTTTAAATGATACAACAATTTACATAAATATTGTATAAATTCCAAGCAAACTTTTTTAAAATATATTTTTATTGATGTCAGAGAGGAAGGGAGAGGGAGTGACACACAGAAAGAAACATCAATGTGAGAAAGACACATGAGAGAGACACATCAATTGCTGCCTCCTAGAGATCAAGCCTGAAACCAAGATACGTGCCCTTGACCAGAATCAAACCTGTGACCCTTCAGTCTGCAGGCCAACACTCTATCCACTGAGCCAAACCAGCTAGGGCAAACCTCATTCTTTTTCACACCTGCATTGTATCCCATTGTAGTATGCATAGTATTTACCAGTCTCCTAATGAAAGAAAAGTTGTTTCCAATATTTTATTACTACAGATAATACTGCAATTAATATTTTTATCCATTATTTTGCATATTATTTGTAAGAATATCTATCAGTAGGGATTAGTAGGTTGAGATTATCTAAAAAGTTTAAGTAGCAATGTAAAGTTGATAGATATTGCCAAATAGCTTCCAGGATGTAACAATTTATACTACTTGTAAGTTATTTTGTTTCTACATAAATATATACTCTGTCCTGCAGACTCACATTTTTCACTCAGCAATATGACTTGGAGTTCTATCTATGTCAATACATGTAGATATACCTCATTAAAGGAAAACTGTCTTACAGTTTCCCATTGTATGGCTGTTAGATAGCTTATTTAGTTTATCACTTATTGATGAACATTTGGGTGGTTTTCAATCTTTTTGCTATCACAGACAAATGCTCTAGTGACTATTCTTGTATGACTAGAATAGATTCAGAGAAGTGAATTGTAAGATGATAGGTATACATATTTCAATTTTAAATAGATGCTATTGAATTGCTCTCCCAAAGTATTGTACCAATTTAGACTTCTACTAATGGTGCATAAGAGCTTTAGGTTTACATTTAGGATTAGCCCATGTGCTTCCTCCTGAATCAAAGTTCAAAGTCCCAGTTATCACTGGGATCATTCAGGCCCTGATACCAAGCCCCCCATAGAATCTGAGTGGACAAGCTGAGTGTTGGGAAGGATGAACACATATGAGGGCCAGGGTGTCCCCCATTAGTCAAGTGGGCACCCGATAACACAACCCTTTCCAAAGAAAAGGCTACTTTGGGAGAAAATGAGCTCTCCCTATCTCTAGAAGTGTTTGAGTGGAGGTTTGGTATCAACAAATGCACTGAGCAAATTTTACTGTGTCTAGGGTCGTCGTCTTGACCCAGAGATGAGTCAAACCCAGATCCTGCCCTTTCAGAGCTTGATACTCATGGGGAAAACAGATAAGTAAACAGACAATGACATTCTGTCTACTAAGTATTGAGTTGGCCTTCCTTTTCTGAAAATATCTGGAACTTCCTGCTACACACATGGAAATGCTGAAAATAAACACAATAAACATCCTTTTAAATGTACAACAGGACTTGCAATAGTTTGGATTTTAACAGACAATTGGGGAGAGGAAGCCTTGAGCTTACATGAAATTTGAGGCTCTTGATAAACGAGGACCCTTTGGGTCTACACCCACATTGAAAGAGTGGACTAGGGATAAACAAACAAACAAACAAACAAACATCTGACTACTAGCAAAGGAGACAAAAATCCGTGTGTCATAGTGTTTGTCTGGACTTGGTCTTTAGGTGGGGAAAAAACTATTTCCTGAGAATTTGAAACCACATACCTGACCTCAGTGTGTCATATTTTTATCACCTGCATGACTGGGAATCCCTGAGGCTGAGAAATCAATATAAAAGGAGGCCTACTCCAAAACTCTCAGATGCCTAGCAGAGACAAATGCAAATCCCCCACCCACCCCCCATTGCAGACTACATAGGATTCCTATACATTATATAAAGCCTTTCCAAACATTAACTAATTTGAAAGGAAAAAACTGATGAAATACACAAGGAAAAATCTACCACAGGTAAGATTCAACTAACAGAAATCCACCACAAGTAAGATTCAACTAACAGAAGAACCACACTCCCAACAACCTCAGGTAACAGACAGTGATCCTTAAGTGTGGGACAGAGGTAGCTGGTAAATGCTTTGGGAGCACAGAGAAGAAACTAACTCCCTGATGGAATAAAAGTCTTCATAGAGAAGGAAACTTTAAGAATGGGCCTTGAAGGATATGTAGGACTTGGCCAAGTAAGGACAGATGCTGTTGGGAGTAGCCAGTGGGGTGTACATAGTAGAATGTACCAAGGGAATGGCTATTTATTAACTTATTTTCTCAGGTGCAAAGAGGGCAGAAACATAGAGGAAGAGGGAAGGAAGGGAGGTAGGGGGATAGATCATGCTGGCCCTTCCTTTGCAAGCCATCTTAAGGACTTAGTTCTTTTTAAATATATTTTTTATTTCAGAAAGGATGAAAGAGAGAGAGATAGAAACATCAATGATGAGAATCATTGATCGGCTGCCTCCTGCATGCCCCCCACAACCTGGGCATGTGCCCTGACTGGGAATTGAACCATAACTTCCTGGTTCATAGGTCAATGCTCAACCATTGAGCCACATTGGCCAGACAGGACTTAGTTCTTAAACTAAGTGCAAAGGAAAGCCAGTGAAGGGTTTTAAGTGAGAGGTTAGTGATATTCATTCATTCATTCATTCATTCACTCAACAGCGGTGTCAGGGATAGAGAATGAGTTGAGAATGAAGAGTGGCAATAAGAGACTATTCAAGAGAGTATAACAAACATCTAGGTGAGAAATCCTGGTGGCTTAGACCAGGGTGGTGGCAGTGAAAATGGAGAGGAGTAGATGAATTTGATTGATATCTAGGTCAAAGTTTGAAGATAGATTGTATACAAGGGATGGGGAAGTGGGAGATACCTAGACTGATTCCCAGGTTTTTGGCTGAGCATGTGAAACATTGGTGGTGCCATTCACAGAGATAAGAAATTAAGGAGGAAGAGTGAGTTTTTGGAAGAAAGATCATGAGCTCAGGTTTAGATATTTGGAATTTAAAGTAGCTTTGGGATATCCAGGTGGTGATGTCTAAGAGGTAGTATATATATATATATATATATATATATATATATATATATAATTTATTTTTAAATTGATTTTAGAGTGTGAAGAAGGGAGAGAGAGAGAGAGAGAGAGAGAGAGAGAGAGAGAGAGAGAGAAACATAGATGTGAGAGAGATACATCAATCAGTTACCTTTCGTACTTGCCCCAACCAGGGGGTTTAAGCCGGCAACCTAGGTATGTGCCCTGACTGGAATCGAACCCACAACCTTCTGGTGATGGGACAAGGTTCTAAGCAACTGAGCCACACTGGCTGGGGCATCTTAATTTTTAAAATTTATTTATTGATTTGAGAGGAAGGGATAGAGAGATTTGTTGTTCCATTTATTGATGCATTCATTGGTTGTTTCTTTTTTTTATTATTGATTTCAGAGAGCGGAAGGGATAGGGAGAGAGAGATAGAGACATCAATGATGAGAGAGAGTCATTGATCAGCTCCCTCCTGCATGCCTCCTACTGGGGAATCAGGCCCACAACCGGACATGCACATGTCCTGACCTGGAATCAAACCGTGACCACCTGATTCATGAATCGATGATCAACCATTGAGTCACATTGGCCAGGCCATTCATTATTTTTTGTATGTGCCCTGACCAGGGGTCGAACCCACAACCTTGGTGTTTAGGGACCACACTCTAACCAACTGAGCTACCCAGCCAAAGCTCACTTAGCATGTTTTCAAGGTCATCCATATTATAGTATGTATCAATACTTCATTCTTTTTTATTGCCCAGTTATAGTCCATTGTATAGATATACTATATTTTGTTTATCCATCCATGGCAAATAAAATGGATATTTGTGTTGTTTCCACTTTTTGGCTATTATGAATAACTATAAATAAGCTATGAATATTTATGTACAAGTTATTTTTATTATTGTTATATTAAATCCTCACCTGAGGATATCTTTATTGATTTTAGAGAGACACCTTAACAACTAAGCTACATGACCAGAGTGGCAACTCTATGTTTAACATTTTGAGGAACTACCAAACTATTTTCCAGAATGGCTACAGCATTTTACATTCCCATCAGTGATGTTATGAGGATTTCAATTTCTTAACATCCTTGTCAATACCTGGTGTTTTATTGTAGCTATCCTAATGGGTATAAAGTGATATCTCATTGAGGTGGGTTTTTTGTTTGTTTTGTTAATCCTCACTCCAGGATATTGTTTTCTCAAGGATATTTTTTCCCATTGATTTTAGAGTGGAAGGGAGGGGGAGAGACAGAGAGAGAGAAACATCAATATGAGAGAGACACATCAATTGGTTGCCTTCCACAAGGGCCCTGACTGAGGTACATGCCCTTCACCAGAATCAAACCCAAGACCCTGCAGTCTGCAGGCCAACGCTCTAACCACTGAGAAAACTGGCTAGGGCTCATTGAGGTTTTGATTTATATTTTCCTAATAACTAATAATGTTGAGCATCTTTTCACATGCTTATTGGCCATTTGTGTATCTTTGGAAATATATCTATTCAAATCATTTGCCCATTTTTAATCAGGTCATTTGTCATTTTATTATTGAGTTGTAAAGAGTTCTTTTTTTTTTAATATATTTTATTGATTTTTTACAGAGAGGAAGGGAGAGATAGAGAGTTAGAAACATCGATGAGAGAGAAACATCGATCAGCTGCCTCCTGCACACCTCCTACTGGGGACGTGCCCGCAACCCAGGTACATGCCCTTGACCGGAATCGAACCTGGGACCTTCCAGTCCGCAGGCCGACGCTCTATCCACTGAGCCAAACCGTTTTCGGCTGTAAAGAGTTCTTTATATATTCTGCATAATTGTCCCTAATCAGATATATGATTTGTAGATATTTTCTCCCATTCTGTGGTTTGTCTTTTTATTACCAGAGAGCCACCCAAGTCAAAGGGGGCTGGCTTTCCCCTCCTCGGCTCTTGTCATACTCGTGAGAAAGAATTCAGACGAGTGACAGAAAGCAGTGGTGAAGCAAAGCAAGCAGATTTATTAAGGAAGCAAAGCAAGCAAACTTAATAAGAATACAATTGGATAAAGCACAAGTGGACAACTCAGCTAGTCTGAGCACCCCAGGCACCTGGTAGGGGCTCAAGGGTTTTGTACTCCCCCCTCATAGATTTCAAGGTTCTCCTTTTACATTGTTGCAGCTTTTCCCAGAATTTATAAGAACATCTTGCGATTTTATCTTGCTTACTTCTTTGTTCAATGGGTGAGATAAACTCCCCCCTTTTCCCCCCTTCCCCTCCTCCTGCCCTAGCAGCTATCTTTCCTGCCTAACATCCCTCCCCCCCCCCACCCCCTCAAGTGATACCATCCAAATGCTTTGGGGTTTTGTTGTTTGTCCCCCAGACTTCATCTGTCCTTGGGTTTAGCTGGCACAAATGTCATTAATTGGGTATTTGTTTTTATTTTCCCAGGCCAGGGTGATTTAAGCTATGTATTCTCTGGTTAGGGAAGATGTCTAGTGAGCTGGCTGCAAGCTGCCCAAACCGTTTGGCTTTATTTAATTTTCTTCTCTCAGTTTCCCCATTCCAGTTGCCCAGGAATTTTCCTAGCTTCTTACTATCCTGCCACATTTTCTTTCTTTCTTTCTTCTTTTAAAATATATTTTTATTGATTTCAGAGAGGAAAGGAGAGTGGGAGAGAGAGCGAAACATCAAAGTTGAGAGAGAATTATTGATTGGCTGCTTCCTACACTTCCCACACTGTGGATTGAGCCTGCAACCTGGGCATATGACCTGATCAGGAATCGAACCATAACCTCCTGGTTCATAGGTCGACACTCAACCACTGAACCATGCTGGCCGAGCCATTTTAATTTCTTGATAGTGTCCTTTGGAGCACAAAAGTTTTTAATTTTGATGAAGTTCAAGTTATTTCTTCTTTTGTTGCCTGTGCTTTTGGTATTATAAGAAACCATTGCCTAACTCAAGGTCATGGAAATTTACTAGTATTTCTGTGTTTTCTAGGAGTCCTCTATGACCTTATATTTAGGTCTATGATCCATGCACACTCCTGTTTAAGAACCACTGGTTTGGGTTACATTTTCTACTTATCATGGCTAATCACTGTTCTTCCCAAAGACAATCCAAACCCTAAGAATTTTTAAGTCATTTGTTAGGATAATATAAATAATAATAAAATAGCTAACAATGTATATATTGAGCACTTGCTATGTGCTAAGCATTTTACATTACATAATCTTGCTCAATCTTCACTATGTTACCTAATCTTGCTCAATCTCCTCCATTTTTCAAATGTAATATACTTTACTCGAAGATGATGTAATACATATCTCCTCCTTTTATGTAAAAGGAAATAACAACACTTGTTTTGTACTGGTCTCAGCCTGTCAATAACCAGTATTGTAGCTGGACCAGCCCTTGTGGTTCTGACTATGATTTCAAGATGCCTTTTAGCAATAACCATCAGGAAACTTTGAAAAGATAAGGTTTATTACTTACAAGACCTGCAAGACCTGAAAATTACACAGCACACCTGGGGCCACATAGCAAGGTTAAGGAGAGAGGGAGCGCGCACTCACTGGTCACAGGCCTGGGTGGCTGCTTTTATTGGGCAGTGGCCTTGTAGGTGAATTTAAAACTCATGGGCTCACACTTTATTGGTGAATTTAAAAAGCAGGAATTTAAAGCCCCAGAAGAAAGCAAAATAAACAAGTAGCCCAAATGATGTTATTTAAATCAACCAATATCTCTAGAACAAAGGAGTCTCAACAGGGGGAGGCCATCTGGCTCTTAATCTAATTGTGTGACTGGCAGCGTGTTTATTCAAGATAGCTGTCTTTGAAGTGGATGCCTTGGCAATCAAAGCTTAGGACAGGTATTTGCGTAACATAAAAGAAAAAAAACCCAAGGCCAAGGCCTACGCTACACATTTACATCTTTAGGAAAGAAGGTTGTACAGACTAAGCTAATGAGTGTTAAAAGTATGGCACAATGCTTAGCAGAGCAGGGCTCAAAGGATGAGAGTGCCTTTATTCCTTCATGATCCCCTCTCCCAATGGAGACCTGCTCCTCCCAATGGTCTAGAAAGCTATCTGTTCCCAGGCTGATTTTTGCATTCAGCTAGCATCCTGTTCTTTCTTCCTTCTCTCATCATGGTTTGAGATTTCATTTTCATTTGTGTTATTCTTAAGACTATCACAGCTCTGCAACTGCTCTCTAAGTTCCATAAAAGCAAGAAATACAACTTTGTCATTGCAATGTTCTCCAACACCCAGTATAGATCCTGGGAATGTAATGATCTTAAAAAATATATATATATACACTTTCTTGTTTAAAATTCTCCAAAGGCACATGCATTGCACTGTGAATGAAGCCCAAATTCCCAACCATGGCGAACAGGTCCCTACCTGATTCGCTCCTATCTGCCTCTGCATCCACACCTTCTATTCTACTACTCTCTTCTTGGACCATACCTTACTTGTTCTCTTTCTTCTTGACTCAGCTTGGAAGCTCTGATTAGTTTCTCATCTTTTAGATCTCAGCTTAAATGTCACCTCTTCTCAGAGCCTTCCCTGATCACCCTGTCCAGTGTTAATGTTATCATCATAATTAGGTAGTTAATATGAATAATAGGAAGAGAGCAAAGGGGAGGCCAGACGTTATAAGCATGGTCATCTGGGTAGCTTCTGCAGGAAGCTACAGCTTCAAGCTCCCCAGGGAACCAGTGGTCCATTCCCTGCAGATCGGTGGGGGAAGGGATGGAACAAAGGGGGAGATGAGTGTATGTGCTGTGAAGTCTGGGTGACATAGGGAAGGCTCTTGCCTATCAGTTTAGCCTGGGGAACAATAAACTGGCTAGGGGGCAGACCCCATCAGAAGAGTACAAAATCTTGGAAGGTCCCGGTTAAAATTCCCAGACAAAGAGTTCCCTTCTCTTGTCTCTTGCTCTTGTTCTCCTTTGCCCCTGACCTGCACTCCCCGGTGTGCTCGCCTGCCATGTGGGTTTAAGCAGCCTCATGGCCCATGGCTGTGCAGACCCCACACACAATGGATTGCAGCTGGGAATAAAAGCTAAACTAGCCAGTTGCTGGACTGAACTGTACTTTAATATGGAATAGAAATTCTGGGCTGCTGAAGACAAGATTGGACTTTTCCCATGGTGGACCCTTGGAGGGGAACCTCCTTAATTTTACATCATCAATAAAGCTTTCAACAAGACCTTATCCTCCCATTGGGGCCCCGGGAAATTCTTTTCCTCATAGCACCCACTTCCATGGATAACATTACCACTACCCTTCCACCAAGTTATTCTTCATCATGTAACCTGTTTCATTTTGTTTACAGATCTGAAATTTCTTCATATATTTAATATTATTATAGCTAACATTTAAGCACTTTTCATACATTAATGAAGTGGTGTGCTTCTGAATTCTTATCAAAGGGCTCTCCAAACTATAAAACCCTGATCTGGAGTGTGTGCTCACTTCTGTGGTGTAAACACTCCCATTAGGAGGGATTTCAAGCTACCAACCTGTTTTTACTGAACATGGATTTGGGAAGGGCAGGGCAGTAGTACACAATATCTATATATATAAAAGCCTAAGTGACCATCACAACCAAACAGATAACCAAACAGGCTGCGTGGGGCGACCAGGCTGGCAGGGGGGTTAGTGAGGGGTGACCAAATGACTGAGCAGCAGGCTGTGTGGGGCAACCAGGCCAGCAGAGGCAGTGAGGGGCAACCAGGCTGGCGGGGGGAGCAGATGGGGGCGACCAGGCCGGTGGGGGAGGGCAGTTGGGGGTGACCAGGCCAGCAGGAGGGGCAGTTAGAGGCAATCAGGCAGGCAGGCAGGTGAGTAGTTAGGAGCCAGTGGTCCCGAATTGTGAGAGGGATGTCCAACTGCCGGTTTAGTCCTGATCCTGGGAATCGGGCCTAAACCGGCAGTCGGACATCCCCTGAGGGGTCCCGGATTGGAGAGGGTGCAGGCTGGGCTGAGGGCACCCCTTGCCCCTGTGCATGAATTTCGTGCACCGGGCCTCTAGTTATACAATATTTGCCATAGTGAAATACCAAACCACCTCAAGCGCACAGTTAAAACAAAGTGTAGTAAAAACAATTAGGAAGTGATGAGTTTTGAATAAATATTCAAAAATAAATACTACCTTGTTTTTAATATAATTTATTTAGTTGTAAGTTTATATAATTTAATTTTTTATAATGGCTGTGTTTAAAAGTGGGAGAATTTCTAAGCATTCCTCAGTTGTTTCTAGCAGGCCAGTAGGAGCCAACAGCCAGTTCATTTTTCAGTGAGAGATCTGAGGCACAGAAAGGTTAAGCAACTCGTTCCAGGCTGCAGGCCTAACCAATCTGTCTCCTAAGCCAAAATGTACCCTCAGAATCCAATATAGTGCCTGGGAACAGATGTCGTTCAATACACAATTGCAAATACATGAATCCATATTTAATAGTCTCTAAAAACATAAAAGAGGAACACTTAAGCATTAAAAACAAACACACCAGAGCGAAACTAACATCTCCTTAAAACTCACTCACAGCCCCACGAAGATCAATCCCTCATCTGACTACTCTCCGCAGCGCTCCGGCTCCTGAGCGCCTTAACAATTCACCAGCTGTCACACGAGCCGTCGCCCACGCCTTCGCCACCGGCTTGACTCGCCCGGCTTCCCGTCGTCCCGCCCTGCCGGGCCGCAAGGCTTCCTGGGAGTGGTAGTCCCCTGTCAGGCAGCTGCGGCGGCGGCAGCAGCCAGGCGCTCCGGGCCGCGGAACTACAGAGGTGGCGCCCGGGCCCGAGGCTCTTCCGCATCGCCTATCGCTCCCCGGCGGCGCGCCGCCCCAGCTATCATGGCGGCTCCCTTGGCCCTGGTGCTGGTGGTGGCCGTGACGGTGCGGGCGGCCTTGTTCCGCTCCAGTCTGGCCGAGTTCATCTCCGAGCGGGTGGAGGTGGTGTCCCCACTGAGCTCTTGGAAGAGAGGTGAGGCCACCGGCGCGAGTAGGCGGCCAGGTCCCTGCTGTGCTCTCCGGCCTCTGTGAATGGGAGCCGGGGCAGTGGCCGCCAGCACCACGCTCTGACCCGCTCCGGCGCCCTCCGCGGGCGGGAGGGCGGGGCCTAAGGACGCGTCTTCCTGGGGGAGGGGGCGAGGGACTGTTTGGTGAGGGTTGGGCCCGGGAGCGGGATTGCCGCCGGCACGGAGATCTGAGGGGGTGTGTCCCACTGGGGCCTTGAGCCCAGGGAAATGGCCTGAGGAAGGGATACTTAGAGGGCGTGCAAGGTGGAGTGGGAATTGAGGGGGGCTTGGGATTTCACGCGGGGTGCCTGGGGGTGCTCCCTGGAGGATGGGACGGTGTGTGTGTGTGTGTGGGGGGGGGGTATTCCAGGTGAGGTGTTTAGAAGTCTACTCTCAGTCTAAGCTCGCAGTGCAGCTTTTACTACTGTTTATTCTTTTTTCTTTTTATTATTATTTTAAAAATTTATCGTTATTGTTCAAAGTATTACAGATGTCCCCTTCTCCCCCCATTGACCCCCTCCACTCCACTCCCCCCAGGCCTGTGTCCATGGGTTATGCATTTATGCATATAAGCTCTTTGCTTAATCTCCCACCCTTTCCTCTGAGATTCGTCAGTCTGTTCCATGCTTCTATGTCTCTGGGTCTGTTTTGTTCATCAGCTTATTTTGTTCATTCGATTCCACATGAGTACGATCATGCGATACTTGTCTCTGACTGGCTTATTTCCCTTAGCATGATACTCTCCAGGTCCCTCTATGCTGTCTCAGAGGGTAAGAGATCCTTCTTTTTTCACTGCTCCATAGTATTTCATGGTATAAATGTACCACAGCTTTTTTATCCACTCATCTACTGATGGGCACTTGGGCTGTTTCCACATCTTAGCTATTGTAAATTGTGTTGTTATGAACATAGGGTTACATACATTCATATATATATACACTGAGTGGCCAGATTATTGTAACCACCCCATCAGTACTTCATTGGGCCACCTTTTGCCTTCAATACTGCGGCGATTCTTCTTGGCATTGACTCCTCAAGATGTTGAAAGGTGATGCGAGGAATCTGACACCATGCCTGATGAATAGCACTGTCCAGTTCTGTGAGATTTAACGGTTGTAGAACCAGCTGCCTGATGGCTCTTTTAACTTCGTCCCACAAATGCTCAATTGGATTGAGATGTGGTGATTGTGGGGGCCACCTAAGCAGGGTAAAGTCTCCCTCATATTCTTGAAACCACTCCTGAACAATACGAGAACCATGGCATGGCGCATTGTCTTGTTGGAAGAAGCCATCTCCATTGGGATACGCCATCAACATGATAGGATGAACCTGATCAGCAACGATACTTAGGTATGTTGTGCTATTCAGACATTGTTCCACACGAATTAAAGGGCCCAAATCATGCCAGGAAAACATGCCCCAAACCATAACACTGCCCCCACCAGCTTGAAGGGTTGTACTCATGCATGTGGGGTGCATGCTTTCATGCTGTTTCCGCCAAATTCTCACTCTGCCATCTGCATGATGCAACTGGAAACATGATTCATCGGACCACATGACTTTTTTCCAATGCTCGACTGTCCAATCCTCGTGTTCCTGTGCGAATTGAAGACGTTTTATCTTGGTAACTGCAGACAGGAAAGGTGTTCGAACAGGCCTTCGGCTGTTTTGCTGATACTCGCTCCATGGCTCCGAGCGCCAACAATCATCCCACGTTCAAAGGCTGTTAAATCGCGTTGTTTACCAATATCTTCAGAAAAAAATCACTTCTACTGTCGTGGTAAACAACCTGCTTCCCGATTTATAATGGTCTGGCCCTCTAGCAACTTCAGCACAAAATTATAGCTAATTTGCCTACAAACATCAGGTGGTCATAATAATCTGGCCACTCAGTGTATATATACATATATATCCTATATAATAAAAGGGTAATATGCAAATTGACCCTAATGGCAGAACGACCAGAACGACCGCTTGACCAGTCACTATGAGGCATGCTGACCACCTCTCAGTCCCATCCCCCGCCTGACAGGCTACAATCGCCCGATGGCAAACAGAGAACCGGGGTGGGTGGCGGCGGCGGGCGGGGCCGGCTGCAGGCAGCTGGGGAAGATGGCCCTGATCACAGGCCAGGCCTAGGGACTGTACCATGCACGAATTTCGTGTGCCTGGCCTCTAGTTTTATATATATATATATATATATATATATATATATACACACACACACACACACACTAGAGGCCCGGCGCACAAAAATTTGTGCACTCGGAGGGGGGGTCCCTCAGCCTGGCCTGTGCCCTCTCGCAGTCTGGGACTCCTCGGGGGATGACTACCTGCTGGCTTAGGCCCGCTCCCCGGGGGATTGGGCCTAACCTGGCAATCAGACATCCCTCTGGCAGCCCGGCAGCCCTCGGGGGATGTCCACTTGCCAGCGGGGAGTAGGCCTAAGCTGCAGTCGGACATCCTTAGCGCTGCTGAGGAGGTGGGAGAGGCTCCCACCACCACCACTGTACTGGCAGCCATCAGCCTGGCTTGTGGCTGAGCAGAGCTCCCCCTGTGGGAGCGCACTGACCACCAGGGGGCAGCTCCTGCATTGAGCGTCTGCCCACTGGTGGTCAGTGTGTGTCATAGTGACCAGTCATTCCCAGTCATTCTGCTGTTAGGGTCAGTTTGCATATTACCCTTTTATTATATAGGATAGAGGCTTGGTGCATGGGTGGGGGCTGGCTGGTTTGCCCTGAAGGGTGTTCCGGATCAGGGTGGGGTCCCGCTGGGGTGCCTGGCCAGCCTGGGTGAGGGGCTGATGGGTGTTTGCAGCTGGTCACACCCCCTTCAGGGTGGGGGTCCCCACTGGGGTGCCTGGCCAGCCTGGGTGAGGGGCTGATGGCTGTTTGTAGGCTGGTCAAGCCCCCCCAGTGGGGACCTTCACCCCATGGAGGTTTGGCCAGCCTGGGTGAGGGGCTGATGGCTGTTTTCAGGCTGGCCACACCCCCTTTAGGGTGGGGGGTCCCCACTGGGTTGCCTGACCAGTCTGGGTGAGGGGCTGAGGGCTGTTTTCAGGCTGGCCAAGCCCCCCGGCGATGGAAGCTCCCAGCCTCTCCTTTTTTTCTTTTCCTTTTTTTTATTCTGGGATTTATTTACCTTCTATAATTGAAACTTTGTTGCCTTCAGTGGAGCTCAGACCCGGCCGCGGCAGGCGGGAAGCTTGGCTTCCTCCATCACTGGAGCAACCAAGCCTCCTGCTTGCTCCAGCTCCGTTGCTGCCAGCCGCCATCTTGGTTGGGTTAATTTGCATATAGTCGCTCTGATTGGATGGTGGGCATGGCTTAAAGTGTAGCGAAGGCACGGTCAATTTGCATGTTTGTCTTTTATTAGATTAGATATATAATTTATTTTTAAAGAAATGTTGAAAGATGTGAAATATCTGAAGCAGGGTTTGAAGATTTTCTTTAAAAACATTTTTTTTTACTGAAGTACAGTATATACAGTGCCCAGAAAATAAATGTAGAGCTTAATGAATTTTTACAAACTGTATATACCATGTGGGCAACACCCAGATCAAAAAACAGAACATTACCAGCACCCCAGAAGTCCCCTTCCTGTGCTTGAACTTTAAATTCTAGAGTTTTGATATTATCAACTTTTTTTTTTGTTGTTAATTCTTACTAGAGGATATTTTTAGTGTTTATTTTTGTTGTTAATCCTCACCCGAGGACATTTTCCCATTGATTTTTATAGAGAATGAAAAGGTGGGGGAGAGACACAGAGAGAGAAACTTCGATATGTGAGAGACACATCGATTGGTTCCCTCCCACACTCACCCTGTTTGGGACAGGGATTGTTCCTGCAACCCAGGTATTTACTCTTGACTGGGAATTGAACATTTGGGTGTACGGGCGTCCCTCTAACCACTGAGCCACGCCAGCCAGGGCAATCCCATAAACATTTTGGAATGGGAAATGGCATAATAAGTGAGTGTTTAAGAATAATTAGAGCCCGGCCAGCGTGGCTTAGTGGTTGAGCGTCGACCTATGAACGAGGAGGTTATGGTTGGATTCCCAGTCAGGGCATATGTGGGCTCAGTCCCCAGTAGGGATGTGCAGGAGGCAGCTGATCAATGATTCTCTCTCATCATTGATGTTTCTATCTCTCTCCCTCTCCCTTCCTTTCTGAAATCAGTAAAAATACTTTTAAAAAAAGAATAATTAGAGCTAAGAGTTCTAAAAATACTATATATCATTGACTGACTTATTTCACTTAGCATGGTATGCTCCAGGTACCTCCATGCTGTCTCAAAGGGTAAAAGATTCTTTTTTACTGCTGCATAGTATTCCTTGGTAATAAATGTACCACAGCTTTTTCATCCACTCGTCTACTGATGGGCAATTGGGCTGTTTCCAGATCCTAGCTATTGTAAATTATGCTGTTATGAACATAGGGGTGCATATATTCTTTCTGATTGGTGTTTCGGGTTTCTTAGAATATATTCCTAGAAGTGGGATCACTGAGTCAAATGGCAGTTCCATTATTTAATTTTTTTAAGAAATTCCATACTGTTTTCCATAATGGCTGCACCAGTCTGCATTCCCACTAGCAGTGTAGTAGGGTTCCCTTTTGTCAACATCCTCACTAACACTTCTCATTTGTTGATTTGTTGATGGTAGCCATTATAGTATCTACATGATCTCGCTCATGTGGAATTTAATTAACAAAATAAACTGATGAATGGAGTGGATCTGGAGACATGGAAGCATGGAACAGAATTCGGAATCTCGGAGGGAAGATGGGGGAGGGTGGATGGGTGGGAGGTAATCAACCAAAGAACTTGTATGCATATATGTATAACCCATCAACACTGACAGGGTGGTGAAGGCCTGGGGTAGGGGGTGGAGGTGGGCTGGAGGGGGTCAATGGAGGAAAAAACAGGGACATATGTAATACTTTCAACAATAAAGATTTTTAAAATAAGTAAATAAATAAATAAATAAATAAATAAATAAATAAAAATACTGTATAATAGAGATTATGATAAGCCTCATTTTATCCTCCAGTTATTCTCTGTTAGATGGTGTTATTTTCCTCATTTGACAGTTGAGGAAACTGAGATTTAGAGAAGATAAGTAATTTGTCCCAGTTTCCCAGGTGACAAATGGTAATAAAGGTAGTAGTAATTCATATGTATGATAGTAAGAACTTAGATTTTATATATCTGCATATAATATTTGCATATAATTTTTTGTTGAAGCCACTTGGTTCCTGCTTTCTTCTGGATACCATAAGACCCAAGGCAGTATTAGGCCCTCCTTCCTCTGCTCTCTTAGCAGTTTATACATACCTCTATTAAGAGCATTTCTTTTTTTATTTTTATTTGATTTTATATTTTTATTGATTTCAGAGAAAGGAGGAGAGAGAGATGGAAACATCAGTGATGAGAAAGAATCATTGATCGGCTGCCTCCTGCATGCCCCACACTGGGGATCGAGCCCACAACCCAGGCATGTGCCCTAACCGGGAATTGAACCATGACCTCCTGGTTCATAGGTTTACTCTCAACCATTGAGCTATGCTGGCTGGGCTTAAGAGCATTTCTCATTTTATATCATAATTCTTTGTTTATATCTAGTTTCTCTACTGTATTATGAGTTCCTTGAAGATTAGAGCTGTTTTAGTCATCCCTGAATTCCTTGTGTCTGGCATAGAGTAATTGCATAGTTAACTACTTATTGAACAAACTAGAAGCCCAGTGCACGACTTCGTGCACGGGTGGGGTCCCTCGGCCTGGCCAGCGATAGGGGCCAATCTGGGCCATGGGAGGTTGGCTTGGGGGAGTGCACTGACCACCAGGGGGCAGCTCCTGTGTTGAGCGTCTGCCCCTTGGTGGTTAGTGGGCATCATAGTGACCAGTCGACCAGTCGTTCGGTCGTTCAGTTGCTTAGGCTTTTATATATATAGATATTGAAGAAAAGAAACTGGTTGCTTATAGGATTGACAGGGTGAAGGATCCAAGATGAGGCAATGTAGTATCGTCATTAAGAGCACAGGGCAATGGGGGGATAAGCACACATTTGTAATACCTTAATCAATAAAGGGAAAAAAATAAAAACAAAAGAGCACAGGGTCTGAGATCTTAAAGAGGGTTTTAGTCCCTCTCTGCCTCTGCCACTTACTATCTGTATGATCTCCAACATCAGCTTTCTCATTTATAAAATAGGAAGCTATAATATGTACCCCATTAAATTAGATGATCCATGTTGAAGTTCTTAGCACAGTAATGAAAGTCAAAATGGTTAATTCTAAGATTTTGAGTTTCAATAATATGAAGAACAGTGATGATACTGGCTGAAGTAAGTGAGTCAGAAACAATAGCAATTTAAATAAATCTCCATTAATGGACATTGGGATTATTTTTAATTTTTCCCCACTCTTGAGCATGGTAATGAACATTCTTCTTTGGATAAATTGCCCTGAGAACAATCATTTCTGAGTCAAAAAGCATACACTTAAAAGGTACATATTGCCCTGAAGAAAAATTAATGCAAATGTCAAACAAAGCACATAAGCAGCGGTTCTCAACCTGTGGGTCGCGAACAATGAAAATACATCCTGCATATCAGATATTTACATTACGATTCATAACAGTAGCAAAATTACAGTTATGAAGTAGCAACGAAAATAATTTTATGGTTGGGGGTCACCACAACATGAACTGTATTAAAGGGTCGCGGCATTAGGAAGGTTGAGAACCACTGTGAGTGATTGCTCATTTCACCACCTATGAGCAACGTTTCTCACAAGTTTCTAATTTGTTATCTTACTGTGTTTTGGAATGGAGCAGAATATACATAAATGAAACAGTTTAAAGTAGGTGGAAGTTACAAGGAGATCAAAGGAAATTTATAGTTTAATATAAAACGTTCCCATAATGAGTGGTTTGCCACAAGGGAAAGGGATACTCTATGGAAGAAAGCTCCCCATTATCAGAAATGTTCAAATCAAGACTTAGACCCACTTTCTGGGAATAAGGTTAAGGGATTTAGATAAACTATAAGGCCTTTTTTTGTCCTGGGAGTATCTAACACTGGCTTATGGCCATCTGCATATGTCTTTGAAGTAAGAATGAACTTGGATGTCTTACTTTTCAGTGGTTGAAGGCCTCTCACTGTTGGACTTGGGAGTGTCTCCATATTCAGGAGCAGTATTTCATGAAGTAAGTGTTCTTGTTTTCTTTTATGGGTACTAAGAGTAATTTATAGCCACAAATACCAAAGCCTAGCCTCCAGTTAGTACAAACATTTAAAAAGATCTATTTTTTGAAAATCATATTTAGAAATAGCCCTTTTGTATATGTCCTTCACATAGGAAGTTTTCATGGTTGCAGTAGAAATGATCCATATTAAGATTGGACTTTGGGGAGGCAGATGAGACTTCTGTAGAGGTTACCATTTTTAATGGCAAGTGAATTATAAACAGTTCCCAGTTTCTGAATAGGTTGTATGCTATTTGGCATGTAATTGGTTCGTTGGAACATGTTTTCCCATGAAAATTGTGATAGCAATGTTGGTTTCTTAGAAAGCCCATAAAAGCCTATTTAACCCATAAAATTAGTTCGTAACAATAATAAATTCTTAATTCACCATTCTTAATTAATAATAAATTCTTAATTCACTCTTAATTCACCATTCTTGCTTGGGTTACCTGACAAATTTTTTTTTTTAACATTAGTTTTTAAATATATTTTTATTGATTTCAGAGAGGAAGGGAGAGGGAGAGAGAGATAGAAACATCAATGATGAGAGAATCATTGATTGGCTGCCTCCTGCATGCCCCCTACTGGGGATTGAGCCCACAATCTGGGCATGTGCCCTGACCAGGAATTGAACCATGACCTCCTGGTTTATAGGTAAATGCTCAATCACTGAGCCACGCCTGCGGGGCTTAACAAGTCTTTCTGCATCATCTTGCTCCTTTATTCTGCAGTCAGAGCCATCTTTGTAAAATGTGATTCTGATTTTGTCGTTGTCCTGCTTAGTACCTTTGAGTGCTCACCATTGACCTCAGGATGAAATTCAAACACCTTTTGGGGCATAATGCCCGGTGGGCCCTACTTACCACATCAACCACATTTCTTTCCATTCTTCCCTTACTATTTTATTTTATTTTTATTTTACAGAGAGGAGGGGAGAGGGATAGAGAGTTAGAAACATCGATGAGAGAGAAACATCTATTAGCTGCCTCCTGCATGCCTCCTACTGGGGTTGGAGCCTGCAACCAAGGTACATGCCCTTGACCGGAATCAAACCCGGGACTCTTCAGTCCACAGGCCAACACTCTACCCAGGGGTGGGCAACCTTTTTGTGAGTGCGTGCCAAAACCAGCAAAATCTCTGACTCAAAATTCTTCTGCGTGCCAACCCTAATTTTTTGAGAACATGTTATGCCTACTTGATATCTCTTAAGGTGTACGTATGTGAAGAACCTTGAAGAAGTAATAAAATTCATTCGAGCGACAAAAACACAGTATATGATGATGAAAAATACATTTATTTTTTAATGTATACATGTACACTGATAGTCCAACAGAAAACTTTATGACTCCGTTTGATATTATCAGTGGGACTTTTGCTGCTGCATCACTGATGACAGAGATTTTACATCAGGTTTATATTTTGTGACTTTCAGAGATATGCACGAGCTACTACTTTCATCCGTCAGGCTACTCCTATTACGAGATTTAACAAAATTCATCACTGAGAACAAAGATTCACAAGCGTATGTGGATGAAACCAAAACACTGGTCGGATCTAGGAAGGCAGGGAGAGTTAAGGCAGAGGCATAGAAATTGCTCTTCCCCTCTCTCATCAATCCATGGTCTTTAAGATAACTTGTTATGTAAAATTATTTATTTATCTAAGATGCACCTACACTGAATTTATCTGACAAATAAAAAAGTCGATATTAAGAAAAAAATTGTAAATGGAAGATTATAAGAGAGGCTTTCACATGCCAGAAAAAGTTACTGGCGTGCCATGTTTGGCACGCATGCCAGGGGTTGCCCACCCTGCTCTATCCACTGAGCCAAACCAGTTAGGGCCTTCCTATTCTTATTGACCATATCATTTTAAAGTAGAAGTTTTCTAATTTGACCATTTAATCCCCAAATTTTACAGATGTCTCCCTAATACATACTTTGAGCACTATTTTTTTTCTTTCATCTCATTTTCTAAAGCATTATTCAACTTAGTTCTCATGGATATAACAATTGTCTTTTGCATTCATAATTCATTATCTTTGTATTGCTATCTAATCAAACCATAATAACAAGAACTACTAGCAGAAGTAGGTTAGGAATAATTTAAGAGAATAAGCACACAGTTCAGTTATTGGGAACAGGTTGTATGGGCATACCAAAGAGTAGCCCACTAGCCAGGAGGGCTCTGGGTGTTATAGGCCCTGGGCAGTATGTTTTCTAGACAGACTAGGAATCCCCTGAGAGAATCCTGACATACTTTCATTATGCTCCAGCACCATATTATCTATGTATCTTTTTCATGCCATTGTCTCCTTATGGAGGGCCATTCTTCCTTTTTTGGGGGGTTTGTTCTCTATTCTGATATTAGCTTAGGTTTTACCCTTCCAGGAGCCATCACTCATCACCTTAGACTAGGTTTGATGTTCCTCCTGTATTTTGCAAAGTATCTTGTGCTTATCCTTCTTTATGACTCATATCACACTCTTGAAATTGCCTTTGTACATGTTTCGCCCATTATAATATATGCTCGTCAGAACAAGTACTGGCACCTTTTCATTTATTTTTTAATACTAGTGTGTAGCTCTATATCTGCATGTGTATTCTAATCCCTCCTTCCCTTCTCTCTTCCTTTAATAAAAACTTGTTAAATATATACCAAATGCCAGCTATGCTGCAAGGTGCTGGGGATACAGAACAAAATACAGCCCTTGGTACTTATATTTCTGAGAGAAACAGACAGTGGGTTTGTAAAAAAACAAACATTTCAGAGCAAAGAATATCACCAGGGATAAGGAAGGTCATTTCATCACAATAAAGATGTCAATTCATCAAGAGGACATAGCAATTTAAAATTTTTATGTACTTAATGGCAGAGTTTTGAAATACATGAAAACTGATAGACCTGCAAGGAGAAATAGACAAATTTACAGTTATAGTCAGAGATTTAAATATTCTTCTCTCAATGATTAATAGAATAAGCAGATATATAAAAGACTTGAAAAACACTATCCACCAACTTGACTGCATTGACATTTATGGAACATTCCATCCAATGAGCAAAACACACAATTTTTAAGTGTATATGAAACATTTGCAGGATAGATTATATTCTGAGCTATAGAATAAAACTCAATAAATTTAAAAGGATTGAAGTCATACAAAGTATATTCTCTATCTACTATGGAACTAAATAAAAAATTGGTATCAGAAAGATATCTGGAGAATCCCCAAATATTTAAAAATTAAGTAACTAATCCCTAAGTAACCCATGAATTAAAGAAGAAATCAGAAGGGAAATTAGAAAGTATTTTGAACTGAATGAAAATGAAAATACAACCTATAAAAGTATATGGGATGTCACTAAAGTAGTACTTAGGGGGAAATTTACAGTTCTCAATGCCTATATGAGGAAAGAAAGGTCTCAAATGAATGACCTCAGTGCTACCTCAAGAGACTAGAAAAAGAAGATAAATTCAAAGTAAGCAAAATAAAAGAAATAAAGATCAGAGTAGGAAAAAATGAAATAGAAAACAGAAAAACAATAGAAAGTTACTGAAACAAAGTTGGTTCTTTGGGATGAACATAAAATTGATAAACTTTTGGGGATGGTAGATAGGTTGACTGTGGTGATGGTTTCATGAATGTATTCTTAGGTCAAAATTTATCAAATAGTATTTTATACTGATTTTTCCTCTATAAAGCTAAAGTTTAAAAAAATGAGATTTCAGTTAAGTGGTAAGTACATGTAGAAAATTAAAGTTGGGTAAAGGGAAAGAGTGACAGTCATATATGTGTTAATATTAGATAGTGTTCAGGGAATGCTCTCTAAGGAGGTGAAATTTGAATAAGAGATCTAAATGAAGCAAGTAAGCTATATGATGTCCCTGATTTGGGAATGAGCTTGGCATTTGTGAATTGCAGAAAGATGGCCAGTGTTGCTAAGGCAGAATGAACAAAGAGGAAAATAATAGAGATAAATTTTGAGAAGAAGTTAGGGGCCAGATTATGTAGAACTTTTTGTAGACATGGTTAGGAATTTGGATTTTCTATCCATTTTTAATATAATTATTTTTAATATTTTTATTGATTTCAGAGAGGAAGGGGGAGGGAGAGAGATAGAAACATCAACAATGAGAGAGAATCATTGATCCGCTGCCCCCCACTGGGGATTGAGCCCACAACCCGGGTATGTGCTCTTGACCGGAATCGAACCCAGGACCCTTCAGTCCGAAAGCCGACGCTCTATCCACTGAGCCAAATTGGCTAGGGCAATATAATTATTTTTTAATGTCCAGAGTTTATAATAGGAGGGCCAGAGCTTCCTCCCAGATTCAAGTTTATAAAATCTCAATTGGCTGGTGAGGCCTATTGGGATACTTCTTATTTAATTTGGTTTCTGGGAGGACTTCATTCACATCCTCAATGGTCATTTGAGCAAATGGAATTATGTTCTTCATGTTCTCCAGCTCTTTCATGTTCTTCAGTTGTGATCTCTGAGGAAGACAAAAAACTCAGCACAACTTTAACATCTTTTTTTTTCTTTAGTATCCACTTGGACAGTTTATTTATCTTCTGGCACAGGCATCTTCAGGACATTAAGCTTCTCAAAGCCATGTGCCAAGCTGGCCTTCATCCATGACCTTGTAGTAATCCCAATCAATAGCAGGTGGATTTTCAGGTAGAGTAGCCAACCTGGAGGTGAGGATCTCATTCTGGGATTTCAGTGAGTTTTAGAAGAAGTTTTCACCCACCATCATGAGATCTTTCAACAACCCCACTGTCCACAATAGCAAGTAGATTTTACTTTTAGATATTGAAAGACTTTTAAACCAGGAAAGAAGTGTTCATATTTATTTTACATTTGATAAATATTGTTGTGGATACTGTGAGGAAAATTGAATCTAGGGGCAAGAAGTGAAGCAAGGAAGAAATGGTGAGGATACTTATACAGTAGTCTAA